GTGCATAGTAAGGATGTAAAGCCATCCGTGTGATGGGAAATCCAGACACGGCCCCATGTGAGGAAGTGAACCAACCGCACGTGGAGGGATCCAACGAATAGGGCCGAGTCTGTCGACCCCTTGGGGCCCCAGCTTCTGGAGCAGCCGGGAGCACAGAGGGGGAAGCCCGAACGGAGTGGGAGGCGAGTTTCTGTTGTTGGGCGCTTCCGGGTTTTCTTAACGGCCCTTCTGGACAGTTTTGGGGCTTCGTTGGACAGTTTTGGGGGTCCTCGTGGGCTGGCCGTCGTGGGGCTCTGCCGGGGCTCTGGCCGTCGTGGGGCTCTGGCCGTCGTGGGGTTTCTTGGGGTTGTCTTGGGGATTTCTTGGGAGCCTTTTGGGTCCGTCTTGGGCCGGCTCGGGGCCCTCTTGGGCCGTCTTGGGGCTATTGTTGGCCGTCGTGAGCTTTCTGGGGCTGTATTGGGGCCCTCTTGGGGCTTTGTGTGGGAGCCTCTGGATCCGTTCTGGGGCCATTTGGGGGACCTCTTGAACCGCCCTGGAGCCTGGGAAAACCTCCAAAACGAATATGGCTAAACATGCACGTGTTCCCTGAGGGATGAACGGCGTTGGTTTGTTTGGCGTTCTCTTGGGGCTCTTCGGGGCGTCTTGGGGCGGCCTCTTGGACCGTCTTGGAGCTACTTGGGTTGTTTGGGTGGTTCGGGGGGGTCTTTTGATTCGTCGTGGTACCATCTGAGACCGTTTTGAAGCGCTCTGGGGTTGTTTTGGAACCGTATTGGACCTCTTTGGGGCCGTCTTGGGGGCCTCTTAGGCGCCCGGGGTGGTCGAGATTCGCTCGTGGGAGGGAGGGGCGCCTTGCAAAAATATATACATAGGAATAGTTGGCATCGTGGCCACGCGCACGGCGGCGCGGCGGACGCAATCGAGCGGTAGAACGCGCGCGGCTGGACACACACACACACAATTCACACACACACGCAGTTCACACACAGTCACACACACACACGCACACGAACACACGCACACGAACACACACACACACAAACACAAACACAAGCACAAACACAAGCACAAACACAAGCACAAGCATAAGCACAAGCACAACACACAAACACACACTAACACCTCTCCGCCGCCTTTTCAAGAAGCGCTGGGCCCGAATTGCGCGAAGCTAAGGTTGCGTTCGGACCTCGCCTCCCTCTCTCCCCGTGCTTGCAAGTGAACTTGCCAGAGTCTAAAGTAAACTTGCGAATTCTCCGATTGGCGGGGCGCACGCTTCGCGAGGCATCTTTGCCCATGAGCCGAGTGATTGGGACAGCCCACTTGAGGTCGAGGGCCAGTGGATTTCTCGATTTGCCTTTCCTGGATTTTGTAGGTGTGTGAATGTGACTGTGAATGCGTGTGCGTGTGTGTGTGTATGTGTGTGTGTGTGTTTGTGTGTGTGTGTGTGTGTGTGTGGAGGCGGGGGGCTGGGCGCGGAAAAAAAGATGTTGACTCTTGAGACAAACGGCCTTCCAGATGGGTGTCCCGGGGGAAGCGGGCACTGGGCCTTCGGGCGCCTTCCTGGAAGGCCCCAGGGATCAGAGGAGGAAAAGGACGAGGAGGAGGAGGACGACGAGGAGGAGGCTGGAGGCTGGAGGAGGATGAGGAAGATCATTCCGGTGGAGAAAAAGGTACCGATTCCGCCGCTCGTCGTGGAGAGTCCTCGCAGTAACGGCTGGATGTCCGTGAAGTGCTGGTTTGATCGAGCCCTGGGGGAGATCCCAGGAATTGCGGGACTTCGCCCATCCCGTCGTGAAAAAAACACGGCGTAAATGTTTCACCATATTCGGGTTCTTGTAGCTCTATGTAGCCTCTTGACCGTCGAACACGACTCGGGAGGAACAAGCCAGCCGCAGCGTATGAGTCCAGATCTCTGGGGTCGACGTAGCGACAACTCACGACATCGATCGGGGGGCTGCATGACCTTTGCAGGGAAGGTCACAGGGTTCCACGGGCGCCTGCAGGGGGCTCCATGGGCAACGTCGTCCTGGGGTCCGGCGGTAACCCGGGCCATCGGGCCCGCCCGCGCCCCCCCCCCCGACAGCTTGACCGCATCGGTTGCGTCGGTCCGACGGGGTGCGCAGCAGTGGTGCGCGCGGGCATACGCGAGGCTGCCCACAGCGAACCGGTGAGGCTGTCGGCTGTCTCTTCCCCCCCTCCCCTCCACCGCTTAGCCCGGGCCGTCGCCGACGGTCCACAAAGCACGGCCTCGTGGACTCGGCCGGGGCTCCTCTCTCTGGGGCCAGCCCCTCTCGGGCGCGCCGCGCGCCGAGGGGGCCGACTTCAAGACGCTGCAGGAGATGATCGCCCGCGGCATCCGGGAGGCCCCGGGCGGGAAGTATCGTAGACCTTCATCTTGGATCCAGCTTGGGCTCTGAGGTGGCCCCGCACTGGTTACGGCCAGCAGGAAGGGATGCGGGGCAGGTTCGAGGTTCTGGGTTCGGGGTCTGTGTTTTGCCTTTTTTCGGGTCTCGGGGGGCTGTTTTCGGGCCTGGGGTCGTCGAAATCGAATTCAGGTTGACAAACTGCGCCAGATGGACCCAGGAGGGGTCCGTGGACCGATTTTGAGCGGATCCTCCTGACCGATTTTCAAAGGTCCCGACCAGTTCAGGCTTCCTGGCCGCATCCAACTTGGATCACGGCAGGGGGTGCTAAGTTGATAGGGGCTTATAGGTGGAAGCCAAGGATTGTTAGATCTGGCGTGAGCTAACTTATGAGTGGTTCACAAGTGCCTCAAGTGTCTTGGCCTACTTTGCCCGGATCGTAAGCACGTCCAACCCACTTATAGGCTAGGCTAAGCCGGTCATGACTCACGTTGGCGTCCACGTATAACCCCGGATCCACTTGGCAACCACCGCGGTGATTGAAGGACCCTTGACACGCCGCCGTTGGTTAGGATGCCGCTCGTGGCAAGTGAAATTCAGCATCGGCAGAAGTATATGTGGTCATTGTCTGCCAAGCCCAGCACAGTCCCGATCCCGCTTAATCTGGTTTAATCGGGACCCATCCTTGGCCTACTCGGGGCTAATCAGGCGTTGTGTCCCCTTCATCGGGCAATCGCGCTTAATAGTGTTGACGACGGCCTACAATGAGTTGTCTCCTACCGTTGGGATCCCGTCAGCGCGTTACGGTAGGTTCATATGGCGCTGCCGCGACGGCGACGCCAGCGAAGGCGTTCAAGGTTGAACTGTGCGCCCTTGCCTGCGTTCACCGTGGGATATGGTGACGCCACAGGGCCCGACGGAACTCAACCGTGAACGATCGGGGCTGCGATCGGTTTAAGGTTGAGCGATCGACGCGGTGCCAAAAGCTTTTGCTCGCGCCGACGCCGCGCGAAGCTCCCGTCCTCCCTCTCGGTGGTTCACAGAGGGGATCCTGAGGGATGGCGTCCTAAGGACGAGGTGCCCCAAAGAACGTAAATCCACCCTTGGATCCCCAACGTAAACCTACCCTTGGATCCTGTCCTATCCGTAGGTCCCCAGCTCTCAGGACCCCAGCATTGAGCCACCGACCCTCGGTCTTGTCCGAGGGCCTGGCGTTTTCGCACCAGTGCCGCTTCGATGGGCTCCCCACGGCGACGTGTCGTTGACGACGCCGCGGCCCGACTGCCCTCCTCGCGTTTTCGTTTTCTGTGCAGTGCTATCATATGCTGCACCGCAGCCACATGCTGCCCGACCGACCTGCATGAGCGCCAGGTCCACGACACAAAAAAGGCCACTGACAGTTTAGGATGCACGTCCTGGAAGGTTGAATTCGGAATTGGCGCTGGAGTAATTCTTGGTCGAGAACTGGCCTTACCTGGCCTAGTACCGATCAGTCTGGCTTCTCCTGCTTAGTCCGGATTGGTCCCGTTTGATCCGACATACATTTGAGCATCAACCAGCCTAAACTGGCCCAGCGGCTTTCGAATCGGGCGTAACCGCCTTGAGTCGTTCTCGCGAAGCCCTCCCAGGACCTGCCTCCTGATGTGGAAAACGAGCACGAACACGAGGCGGACGAGGACGATGACGAGGATAACGAAGCAAGAACAAGGAGAGGAGGATGAGGAGGTTAGGTTATTTGTTTGCTTGGTACCTCCCTCAACTATCGCCGCGGACTGGGTTACTCTTGCCCTTGGGCGCCTCTCTTCTTGCCTTTTCTCATTGCACCGCTGCTTCTGCACCCGTCCGCGGCCTAACTTGTCTTTTGTTTCGCCGAAGTCGGCGACTTGTTTTAGTTGCACCATCACTCACGCTTCAGGCATCGACCCTAAGTTCACGCAGCGCCAAAAAGGGGAGGGGAGGACGAGGACGAGGAAGGGCACGACGATCTCCTGATATGGGGGACGAGCACGAGCACGAGGCGGACGAGGACGAGGAGGAGGACGAGGAGGGGAAGACCGGGACGAGGAGGGGAGGACGAGGAGGAGGACCAGGAGGGGAGGACGAGGACGAGGAGGGGCACGACGATCTCGAAAGGGCCTGCCTCCTGAGATGCTGCTCCTCCCTCGCCCGAGGCCGAGACTGGCGCGTCGCGCCTGGAGGCCGAGGTGAGCCTGGTGGCGGACGCGGCCGCGGAGCAGCGGCACCGGGAGGAGCTGCGGCGCCAGCACGAGGTCGGGGGCAACGATACGATAGGCCCAGATCCCCTCGATCACCACCCACCAAACCACCCCAACCCAACCCGAAGGCTCAGATTGATCCTCGATTTCCAGTGGGGGGGGGGTCGGGAAACATCGAAAAAACACGCGTGGAACCCTTACCCCCCCAACCCGAAATTCGGGTCTTCGGGTTGGGTTGGGGTGGTCTGGTAGGTAGTCACTCGAGGCACGAGCAAAGCACGATGGAAGGCCTTTCGCTGTTTTCGGCCTCGGGGGGCCCTCACCGGGACTCGGGAGCGTCCAGAAACGACTCAGGAGGAACGACCAGTCTCGGGGAGTGGGTCCAGACCTCGGGCGGTCGCGCCATGGAAAAGTGGTGACGTCGGGGGTCTGGGGGGGGGGATAGGCAGAGAAAGGGAGGCATCGGCCTCAAATGGTTGATACATCGACGATGCATCGTTGGTATCAGGGCGATGTGTCGAAGATGCACAGACGATGCACGGGGCGGTCTGCATCGACGATGTGTAGAGGATGCATGGGCGATGCATCGGCCAAGGGTCGTTGCCTCGCCGCCTTTGCCTACCCCCCCTATCGTCTTGGCATCGCTCGGACGTGTGCATTTTTCCTTCGGCGAGGGCCATCGAGAAGCATCCTTGATCATTGGGAAAAAACACGCACGAAACTGAACAAAAGCACGGGGAATGGACGTCCGAGCGATGGCGAGTCGTTGCCCCTCGCGAGGCGGACCTGGAGGCCAAGAGCAGGGAGCGCGAGGCCGCGCGGGCGCGCCGGCGGGCGCAGGAGGAGGAGCGCTCGCGCAGGCAGCGCCGCGAGGCAAAGCGTGACCTCAGAGGAGGGCGAGGTGCCGATGCCGCCCTGCATCCCTCGTCGCCAGGGCTGGATCTGGCTCGAAATCCGGCGACTCCAGATTTCGTAAGAAAGGGTGGGGGGTCTCATTTCGAGGGGGGGGTCTCTTCCAGGCAATCTTGGAGGGCCTGGGGGGTCTGGGGACGATGTTTTGGAGGGTTCTCCCACGGGTGAGGTCTGAAATGGCTTGTCTTGGAGGGTCCAGACCACTGGCCTCCAACATAGGTGTTGACAGGATCCAGGCGGAGGTTTTTTCACAGTTTTCCAAACTCGGGCCGCCATCGCCGGGACTTTCGGACTGGAAAAGAGCAACTCGGGAGGAACAACAACAGGCTGTAACCACAAATTGCTTAGGACGTAGGTCTGGTCCTGGGGGGAGGCCTTGGGGTCCAGGACGGCCCTGGGGTTAGACTGGGTCAATACCTTGAGATCCTGGCGTTGCAATTGTTGCACCCTTGGCGGCTTCGCTCAATTCCGGGCCCTGGGAAGGGCATCCCAAAATGTCCGGAAAATGTTTTGGCGCTGAAGTCTCCAAGGAAATCTCCAGAGAATCTCCTGGCTGACCGATTGCTCCATTCCGCGGGTACCAGCTGTACACCTACACCAGCCCTGGCCAGGCCGATGCAGGGCCCTGGCTCGGTGTGGACGCCTTCGCTGCTTGGGCAGGAGGCCACATGCACCGATCCTGGGCCCAGGATGTGCGCCTGGCCCGCACTGTTGACGTCGTCCTACTTTGTGGGCCCCGGAAACGGCAGGGCCGTTTTTTCACCGTTTCCGAAAAATGTCTCTTGAAAATGGAAGCGGGAAAAAAACGGCGACCGGAAACGGCCCCAAAACGGCTCCAGGATTGGAACTGGAGCCGGGACCGGTAAAAAAAGGCAACGGAACCGGTAAAAAAACGGCGTCGGAACCGGTAAAAAAACGGCAAAACGGAACCGGTAAAAAAACGGCCCTGTCGTTTCCAGGGCCCACTACATAAGTCCTCCTACCCATGCCGGAGGCAGAAGGAGGAGTTGGACCGGTGGGAGCGCGAGCAGGTCCGTGAGCGGGAGGAGGCGGCCGCGCGGGAGGCGCAGTGCCGCCGCGAGCACGCGGCCTGCTCGCGCATCCAGGCGCAGCATCGTCCAGCCGATCCACATGGCCACACGTGGCCATTGTTTCCCAGACCCCCTCGAGTCATGAAAAAATCACGACGGGAGGTTTTTCATTATTTTTGGACTCTGGGGGCCCTCACCGGGCTTCGGGAGCGTCAAAAAACGGCTCAGGATGAAAAACCGGTCCCGGGGAAGGGGTCCGGACCTCTGGGGGCCGCGTCATGAAAAAAATCATGACGTCGGTGGTTTGGGTTTGCAGACCCAGACCCTTGGACCCAACAGCCCAACCCCCTCGGTGGGGATATCAGGGGCAACGTTCTGGGGGGGAGAGTGGGTCTGAAAAGGGGAGAGTTGCTTCATCGACCCCCAATCGCCCATTCGTCGCCGATAGGGGCTTGATAGCCCACCTCGCCCAGAACCCGCGGAGTCGCTATCGCGGGCCCGTCGCCGATCTGTCGGCGATGCATCGCCAGTTGCAGGTCGATGCTCCCCCCAGGCCCCCCCCATCGTTGCCCCTCAGGATATGCCTCGCGAAACCCGCAGGGAGCAGCATCTATGCCCACCTAGGTGGGTACAGTCAACGCGCATAGTATGGACGCGCGCCTTTTCTAGGGTACCCTTGCGTCCTTGCCACTGCGGCGCGTCCTTTGCCGTTTTCACGGGTTGCCCGTCGCACAAAATCCGAACTTCGGCCTCCAAGGGTCTCGCGTCCTTGCCACCCATCCTCAATGCACGTTCTCACTGTAAGTCGGCCAGTGGGGCCTAATTAGGCCACCCCAGTGGGGATAGGGATCGGTGAAGCGATGCTCACAGGCGCGAGTGCGCGGGCGGAGGTCGCGGGCCGGGAAGTCCGTGTCGAGCGTCGCGGTCAGGCCTGTGCCGCACACCACGCCGCACGTGCCCGTGGCGGTGGAAGTTGCATAGGGGGGCGCCTGGCCTGCAAGGATCCCATACTCGAAGGAAGCAGGTGGCAGAAACACACATGTCTGGAGCTCCGCGCGGAGTTCTGGGATCTTCGCTGAACCCCCTGGCGGCGCCTCCGGCGCCACCGCTGGCGTGCTCCGCGCGCCAGGGAGGTGAGTTCAGCACAGATCCAAGGAGTCCTCGCAGACCTTCGAATCTGTATGTGCATGTTGTTTTGATCTTCCTCTACGTACATCAGCTGGCAGAGCATCGCAGCAGCCATCCGCGATCAACAGGGCCGCAGGATGGGAAGGCGGCTGCACCTGCGTAGGTAATCTGCCACAGTCTCAGTGACTTAGAACTTAGTTGGAGCAAATGCACGCGAGTAGATCGGCGCCTCCTTCTCTATCCTTCGGGAGGCTCCATCCTCTTCGTTCAGGTGGACACTGACGCGTCGTGCAGCTGCACTCGATGAGCTGTTCTTAAATGAACTGCTCCTCCTCTCTCCTTTTTGTTCCTGCTCCCGTCCCTCCTCGCTACTGCTCTCATCCACTCCTCCTGTCCTCCTCTCCTCTCCCCGGCTCCACCCTCCCTCCTCATCCCTCTTCCTTTCCCGTCTCCCTCCTCCTTTGTGTTCCTTGTCTTCTTCTTCTTCTTCTTCTTCTTCTTCTTCTTGTTCTTCTTCTTATCATTATTATCTTCCTCCTCCTCTTCCTCCTCCTCTTTCTCCTCGCCCCCACATCTGCATCCTCCATCCCGCCTCCTCCCCCTCTGGATGATTCGATGCTTCTTGGAAGGACGAAGGAGGGAGGAGAAGGAGGAGGAGAGGACAACGTCGTGCAGGATAGGGAAAGGTGCAGGGGAAGTGGCGGATGAGGGGGGAAGTGGAAGTGAGCCGCAAAGGTGCCATTCGGAGCAGATCATGCCTCAGAAGGCCAAACACAGGTAAGCAGAAGTCTGGACCAGCATGCCAAAGACCACCAACAAGTACTATTGGGTGCCGGCGCACAGTCGCCATGCAAACGAAAAACAATACATATTGTCGCTCCCAGTTGTGTATGTGCTTTTGTGGGAAAGCCCGCACATCGGATTTGTCAGACACGTACGGGCAGCCAGACGCGGATCACTGGCGTGACGCAGCAGTCGTACGCCGAGCTCGGGTTGCGGTATTCCGCGGTGTGCCTGCTCATTCTATGGCTCCTCTTCTGGGAGGTCTACCGCGCAAGGGGCTCTTCCTCCTCCTCCTCTTCTCGCAGTGCTGCGGAAGCATCCCCCCAGCCCCGCACACCTGGACGTTGCACAACGACCCGATTGCCGCGCGACCGCGCGGCCTTGCCAGCGAAGCCAGTGCTTATCCTGTCGGAGTGGGGGGAGGAGAGGGGAGAGATTATTCGAAGAAGCAATAATTGCATGACCATTAACTTTCGGAGCTCTGCGAGGATTTCTTGGATCGGCGCTGGGCCACCCTGGCGGCGCGGAGAGTGCCAGGGAGGGGGGTCCAGCGCCGATCCAATGAACCCGCGCGAAGCTCCGACAGTTTATGCTTACGCCTCTATTCGTTCCTCTAGACAGAAACCTCGAGGGCAGGCTGGGATACCTGGGATCTGGGCGGCCGTGGCTGCTCTCGGCACGCACAGCTGCCACCTGGTGTGTGACGATGTAGCCGCGGCGCCCTCGCTGGTGGAACCGAAGCCGTCGCACCGTGCCAGCATCATAGTATCATCCTCCTAGCTTCGAGCTGCGAGCCTGCTCCTTCGGCGAAGCGAGGCCCTCGATGGCCCTCCTCCCGGCCTGCGCCAGATGTGGAAGGGGCAGGGAATCAAAGGGTAAGAGAGAGAGAGAGAGACAGAAGAAGGAGCCCGCGAACGGAGATCCCGATCTTTGGTACTTTCCTTGCCCCTCTCCTCCTCCCTCCTCCCTCCCCTCCCGATCTTTGGTACTTTCCCCTCCCCTCCTCCCTCCGCCGCCTCTTCAATTGGCGCATGGGGCGCCTCGTGCAACTTGGGGCTGCTGGTGGGCTGTGGGCCGCCCGGTCCTGCGAGTCGCTTCCGTAATTAGGAGGCCGCTCCTGGCCCGCGCAGTCGCCGTCACCAGCGTGTCTCCATGCGGCCTCGCCGCACCCGCGTAGCTTAGCTTTGCTTTTACATCTTATCTGGTGTGCGATTCTCGCCCAGTTTCCTCGCGTCTTGTTTCGGCGCCCCACTCATACAGGGATGCCCGTGCCTTCGTTGTGTGCTGTGCTGCCCCCGCTTGCCGGCTGTTGTGTGCGACCTGCTTATATTAATGGTCGGTGGGACCATTGCTTTTTAGTTGTGCTGGTTTTGTTGTTGTGGCCGTCTGTGCCATAGGGGTGTTCACACAACTTTGTAGTTCGCTCGCTCTTTGCAGGCTCGGGCCCATAGGTTGGCACGCCTCTGACGGTTTGGCCATTGTGCACTTCCTTGCCGCCCGGCGAATCTGCTTGGGCATTTAATGGTTGCCGGTGCTTCTCCGGTGGAGGAGCCGTGGGCAACGGCTTCCAGCAGTTGGGCACTGATGGACTGTAGTGTTGGAGGGGCTTGGTGGCGTTGTGGTTGGGGGGAGGAAGAAAAAAAAAAAAAAAACTTTCCTTGCCTATCTCCCCTCCCAGGCCCCCGACGGCATGATTGTTAATAACCCCAGAGTTCTCGAGCCGTTCCCCAGGAGTAGCTCTTCATCCTGAGTAACCGAGTGCCCCCGAGATTAATGCCACAGGGATAACAAAGTTCGAGGTTGCGGGGGGATTATAAATGTTGCCTACCGGAGGCCAGATGTGGGAGGAGAAAGAGATGATGTTAAAAGGACCGAAAGCCGATGATCGAGGATCGAGAATCGAACATTGTTGGTTTCGCTTGAGACATCCTCGGCAACGTCTTCGCTTCGTTTGATGTTGCTATCTCAACATAAGAAGGAAGTTGACCTCGATGGTGAACTTTTCAAAGTGATAAACAGTTTGTTCGGCCTCCGCGCCCCGCGCCCCTAACCAAACTCTTATTGGCCGTGGATAATCAACTCTAGCGTGTTAAGGGGGGGGGTCCTTTTTTATCAGCAGCAGGCGGTTAGTTTCTTGATGTCCCCGGGTTCCGACAAGGGCCCCCAGATTCTGAAAGTAGCGAAAATGTTCTACTATGTATTTCTGTCAGGGCCCGAGGGGGTCTGGGCTCAGGAGCGAAGAACAGACGTCAACGTCCAGGAATCCACGTTGGTTTCGAACGTACGCCTTGCGCGACCGTGCGTAACACGAGGCCGGTCTCGCGGACTGGGGGGCCGGGTTCGTTTACGTGGTTGAGCGCGTACACTTAAAACAGGGCTAGGATCGGGATAAATCGCTCCAGAGCGTTCTGGAGCGCTCTCAGAGCGTTCTGGAACGCTCTGGAGCGGCCGCGGCGCCCAATACATCCTCCAAACCCGCCGATTCTCAGAGATTTCGAGTTATCCCGATCCGATTTTGTCCCGATCTTCGCGTCGTTCTAACACTGGGGGCGCGCATCAGGAAATTGTGTGCTCTTCGTCCGGGTATCCCGGGTTCCTTCGCTCCGCGCGCTGCGCGGCGACTTCCCTCAGCCGTCGAGCGAGCTGCTGCGTTCAGGGTGCTCCGCTGCTTCCCCTCGGAGGTGCCTGGCGCGCGCGGGTTTTCAGCGCTGGGTATCCTGCGACGGTTCCTCGCGGCCGCTCCCCGCACTGCACGTCCTCTGGTGGGCTCCCCATGGGAGGAAGAGGAGGAGGAGGAGGAGGAGGAGGAGGAGGAGGAGGAGGAGGAGGAGGAGGAGGAGGAGGAGGAGGAGGAGGAGAGGAGGAGGAGGAGGAGGAGGAGGAGGAGGAGGAGGGGCTCCGCTCCTGCCGGGGAGCGCCCACCCACCCCAGGGGCAGGAGGAGTGCCCGGGAGCGCCCGGGCCCCGGGGTCGCTGCTCGTGCGCCGGCCGCCCGGGGGTCCGCTCCGGGGCCGCCGGCTGCCGCTGGGTCGAGGCTCGAGGGTCCTGGCATCGCTGGGACGTGTGCAGTTTACTTCGGCGGGGGCCATCGGTTCTGTTGCATCTTCGGGGGGCCTCGCCTGTCCCCAAAATTGGTGTCCTTTTGGGGGCCCGACGCGTGCTCGACGCGGACTCGACGCGGATTTGGCTTGGATTCGACGCGGATTCGACACGGATTCGACACGGATCCGACGCGTCCGACATGGATTCGACACGGATTCGACGCGGACAGGGCCGCGACGGAACAGACAAGGTCCCCCGAGGATGCAACATAACATCGGGGAGCAGTGTCGTTCCCCTTGCCAGAACATGCGCGAAGCTACACCGAAGAAAGGCACAGGGAAGCGACGTCCGAGCGATGGCGAGGGGTCGAGGGTGGAGGGTCCCGCTGGCTCAACGCATGGTGACCGATGGTCAAGGTTCGAGGGCCTCAGAGGAGGATCTGGCACCCAAATGCCGCGACACTTCCCTCGTTGTTTCGCCTCTGGAGGCCCTCGTTGCCACCACTGGATTCGCATCGAAGCTCCGGTCAGGATGCACCCTGGGAGAGGTCCGGGGAGTAGCGGTGCTGATATTTCGTGGTGGCTTCCCAAGGAGCGAGGGTAGGGGTGTTGGTTGATCCCGCTTCGATCTCCTGGGGCGGAGCATCGTCGCAGGGACTTGCGAGGCGGCGAAGGGCGGGCGTACAGTGGGGGCGCATGCCAAGAAACACCCTGCGTGCCTTCAGGGTGCCCTGGGCTTCTTGGGTGTCGATGGTGTTTCTGTGGAAGGCATGCCGCTCCCACAGCAAAAGTCCATGGACGTCCTGGGGTCTCAGGGTTGGGCTTCCTGTGGAAGGTCTCTCGTGGTCAAGCCCCTGCTGTATGGCAGCATCGCTGGCACTTCTCCTTCCTGGCGGCCTGCTTGGAGCCTCCCTCCTTTCGGCGGCATGGCCGACAGGAGGAGGAGGAGGAGGAGGAGGAGGAGGAGGAGGAGGAGGAGGAGGAGGGGGAGGAGAGGGGAGGAGGAGGAGGAGGAGGAGGAGGAAGGAGG